CTCTACCACTTGAGCCACAGCGCCACTTCTGGCTTTTTTCTTTTTGCTTATGTGGTGCTGAGGAATCGAACCCAGGGCCTCAGGCATGCAAGGCAAGAGCTCTACCACTGAGCCACCTTCCCAGCCCTACTCATCCTGGCTGGGCCACCCTATAAACTGGACAGCACAGGTAATATAGATAATGGACTAAGTCTGAGACCGCTCTCTTCCACCTAGATGCTGTACTTTTCTTTGATCCTATTCCTACCCAGCGATCTGAATGAGAGCTAAGTCCATCTCTGCGGACAACCTTCTCAAATGCGTACACAATACGACATTTCTTTTCAGGGAGACCCAGGTCTTCCGAAGCTATTCAGAGCATTTAAGGGGGAAAAAAATCTGTGAGTCAAACCAGGGACAATAAACACCTCAAGGGGGCTGGTGCTAACTGGGGCTGAGGAAGCAAAGTTTAACAGTAAATTGTGAATGAACCATAATGAGGTATCTCAGGAAAGCCTGCAGCTGCTGCCACTACACCCTAGAATTTAAGAATGAATACTTCCACCTCTCCAGAGACCACAAATCACACTCTGAGACTGTCAAAGGATGACCTCGGAGCAGTGACCTCAGAGGGCCGCTCAATTAGGAATCTGAAATGCTTGAGTCAACGCTAACACCCAGACTGCAGGCAACAGAACGGGTCAAACCTCAGAAATTTCATAGAGAAATAAACCCTTTGCAATAGCTAATGTCAACACACTGCATTATATAATAAACCAGCGCTGTTCTGAAGCGCCAGGCTGCAGGCTCTGTGGCCAGGCCTTGCAGTCCTGATTATTTATAAAATGTTTCCTGTTTCCAGTGGCCTTTACAAAAAAAAATTAAATGAATAATAGGTGCCTTTTTTGGTAGTTCAGTACATTAAACTTATTATCCTGCTCCACTGCTGACAAACTGAAAACCAGATTTAAAGAGGAAAAAAAAATCCAATGCATGAATGGACGTCTCAACATTGCAGACACACGTATGTACGTACATACGTACGTATGAACCCTTTGTAGAAGAGACCAAATTCCAAGATGGTGGACAGAAAATGAAAACTAAATGAAGTACTTATGTTTTTCCAAGTGGGAAGGAGCCAAACTTTTATTAGTGGCTTTAACAGGCATTTATGGGCTTGGATTGGTTGTTAAACCATCACCTCCAAGTACAAAACCAAGCCATGAGCCTGGTTGCCAGCTTCGTTTTAAATGTTTAATTTGGAGCTTTGGTTATATAATGTGACAGTTCAGATAAGGCAGTCAGATTAAGCCACATTAGTAATGTTTGCAAAAAACAGTGCCTATTCTGCCAAGACAGTAATTATGTCAATCTGCACAGTAGCTCCCCGCATTTCTAAGAAAAGGATCCAGCTAAAGACCCCTAACAGTCCTTTCCCCATTTTCCTAGCCAAAGTAGGCACAAGGCAACAATAAACTGGCTGGATTATTTTGTTTAAATGGCCCTTGGAATCTCCCCTCCCCCCGCCACAAAGAGTGTCCTATGCAATCCTTTATACACAGCCCTCTAATAAACAGCATCCTTGCATTTGGCCTGCTTTTGCAGATTTTGCTTTTTTCCCTTGGGCCAACACAAAGCTAGGAAACATGAGCCCTACGTTCTACAACATCAAAAGGAACTTCATTCAATCTGTAGATGCATGCTAGAGACCAACATGTGTAGCAGTTCACAGATCCAGCCCTAAGAAAACTCGGAGTTCCCTAGGAGCTAGCTTAGCTTCCCGGGGGTATCTATCACCACTTTACTTGAAGCACAGCTCGACCACATCACCGCTGATGGGCAGGCAGGAAAACAGAAGCCTCTGTGTCTGCAAGTGATGACCTCTGCCAAGCAGAACAATGATACTGCATTTAATCCACTTGCAGCCACACAGTAATTGGTGAGGGACTGATTCAATCTTTGCAATAACTAAACCAGCAGATTAAGGACAGTTTTAGGCCAGAGAGCAAGTCAGCTAATGCCACTGTAAGGTCAGCCCGCAGTGAAATATGTCTTGAAGGATCTGCAGGGAGAAAGAAAGAGCAGAGGCCAGAGTCATCCCTGATTTTAAACAAAGAAATCACGGCAGGATGGTCCGGGAGAGTCTGGCTGCAGTCTCTTTACTTAAAAGCATCTCCTGGCTTTGCAAAAGGGAAAAAAAAATTAAAATTCTGTACTGAAGTTGAGCATAAGGAGGGAAGACCGGGTGCTGGGGGGGGGGGCGGGGAGGAAAGCAGCCAGGGCTGTGGAACTCATTCATTTCAAAGGATGACTCTTCTATTGTGTAACCTTGCAGGACTTCTGAGAATTCAATCCAGCTGAGTCGCCTACTGAATTCTGCTTAACTGGGCATAGTTGCTCTGGCTCTCCAGAACTTGGAAAAGATGTAAATCACCCAAATGGCCAGTACAGGCTACAAGCAGTATTGAGAGAGGTCTCACGCTTGCCCTAAGGTCTCAACCAAACAATCACGAGGCTGACTGGCCATCTCTGCCATCCTGATTATGACAAGAGAACACTCCATCCAGTCCAGTAGGAAACAAGAACACTCCACAACAACGGGTCTGGTTCAAGGGAAGCCAGCGAGGGATTCTGTGGGACCACAGCTGGACCGCAGGACCCATTTCAAAGCAGCATGAATAGCCCCACACACACACCAGTCCTCCCCCACCCTAGTACCCCCCCAAAAAAAGCAGTGATCAAATCTAAAATTCACAATGAATTCTTGATCGATGTCCAATGCTGATTAGTACTGTGTTCTACTGTACTCGTTTATTTGATTTTCATCAACTACTCCCTTGTTCATCCCTTGGTCTGGTGGCCCAGGCGTCTGTCTACACAAAGACACGCAGACCACAGGCCGTGGTTCAGGGTCAAAGACCAAGGGGGAAACCCAAGTGTCCACCTGCGTCTCAGAGCCCTGGGTCTCAGGTGTGGAGGGGAGTGGTAGGGATGGGGGGGGGATGAGTGATCAATAAAATAAGGGCGGGAAGGAACTGAGCCTAGAAGGACCCCAGGGAGCCCGCGTTTGTCCCCCGGGGGCACGCAGGGCAGCGTCCGGGGGCCCTTCCTGCTTTCCAGGCTCTGGGAGGTGCGGGATTGGAAAGGGCACCTTAGGAACAAAGCTTCCACACCTGCCCGCCAGGAACAATGGCTGGGAAAGGGAATCGAGTCCGGGTTCTCTTAAAAGCGGGGAGAGGAAGAGGGGGTGGGGGGTCCCTAGTCCAGGCCGGGAGGGGAGGGGGTTCGACCTAGGGAGAGATGTCCCGGGCACAGAGGGAAGGGGGACACGGACGGCGGGACCCGGCGATGCGCACGGCACCGGGGGGAGAGGGCGCTGCTGGAGCCTCGGGGTACACGCGCATCCGCGCCCCGCGCAGTCCCGCCGCTCGCCCTCCCTCCTTCCCTCCCTCCTTCCGTCCCTCCCTCCCTCCCCTCTCTCTCTCCTGTCCCCCCCTCCCCTTCCCTCCCGGGCTCTCCCCAAAACGCCCCCATTGTCTGCACCGGCCTAAAAAAAAAGAAAAAAAAACTTCCCAACTAATGCAAGCAGGGCACATAAACATGGAAACCCCGCTTTCTCCAGACCACCAGGGAGGGGAGGCGCACGACCCCGCGGGTCCCCCTCTGCCCCTTCCCCAGCCCGTCGGCCCCCTTTGGAATCTTTCCTCAGAAGACAATAATGATCAAAACAATAACAACATCAATAATAATAAAGCAAAGCAAGCAGGCAAGCGCAGCCCGGGCACGCCGGGCACGCGGGGCGCGCCGAGCCCGGGCTCCGTACCTTGCACACCAGCTCCTCTCCGCTGTGCAGATGCACGGCGCGGAAAACGTGGTCCCCCTCCAGGGGCTCCAGCAGTAAGTATTTGCCGATGCAGGAGACGCAATGCGCCAAGTTCGGAGTCTCGGGCGGGCTCGGGGAGCCGAGGTTCGGGCTGAAACTCTGGCTGGGCTCGGCGGACCTCACGGAGGACAACTCTTCGAAATCCTGGGTTTTGTTCCGCGATCTCCCATACCTGGCTATCGTGATGGGGGTGGACCTGTGTATGTTCATGAGTGTGCGATCGCGCCCCGCACACGCACACACGGACACACACACGGACGGACGGACGGACACCGGCTGGAGCGGCCGAGCCCGGACTTTCCCCGGTGAGGGCGGCCGCCGGCGGGGACCCCTCGGAGCCACGGGTTCCCAAGACGAGAAGAGCGCAGGAGGAGCTGGGAGGGGCCGGGCGCGGGGCGGCTCGCAGCGAGATGGTCCCCCCGCCCGTACCCCGCACGAGGAGGTG